CCTAGAACCTACACCTTTTAAAGCTACCTCTGTGTTCCTTCCTCCTCCTCAAAGCAAACTATTCATTCATAATTGTATACCTAATGAGTGTTTGCTCTTCCTTATGATTCAGTGCATTTATTTGAATACCAAAAAATATATTTTTTTAGTTTTACATGGTTTTGAAACTTGTAAAAAATAAAATCATAGTGAATTTGTGCTAAGTGACTTTCTTCTTTTGCTCAGCATTGTATTTGAGATTCATTCATATGTGTACCTATTATTAACCTATTTTAGTTGGATCAAACCCGTGTCTCTTGTGCTGCTTGCATTAGCAAGCAGATTCTTTACCACTGAGCCACCTGGGAAGCCTTAGATTGTAATTTTTTGCTATTAAAAATCAAGGCTGTGAATATTGTTATCTTGTCTCCTGAACACATTCTAAGGGTTTCTTTTGCATAGAAGACAGGTCCTTCCATTCTAAGAAGGTCTAACCATTTTTGTGCCATGGACTTCTTAAGAAGTTTGGTGACTATTATGGGCTCCTTCTCAAAATAAGTTTCCTTCATTTCCTACCTTCCCTCACCTCCCACCTCACAAAAATAATTTAGGCCAAAGAAAAGATGCTTTTATTTGTATATCAGGAGTAGATTGAATTCCTGTTGACTAATAATCCTAAATTATTCTTAGCAGACATTTAAATACTATATTTTAATGAGTAGCATTTCTAGTCTGGAAACTGGATTAAGGAAGCACATTTTTATAGGTAAAATGAATTCTGCCTTTCTAAGTTAAGGCTTAGGAAGAAATGTACTAATTTGCTATTCCTTGTGTTTATTTGTATCATATTTCTAAGCATTCCTCTCCCAAAGAAATCATCTTTCTTCACATGATACACAAGACTGTTACTGGCAATGGAGCATTGAGGGGATGCTCATGGATGAGAATGTTGATTCTAGCTCAGAAAAGGAACTGGCCAAGGAAATCAATTGTCCAAAGCAAATATATATATTCTTGTGTTTTATATATTTATTTAGATTCCAAATAATACACCTAGAATGTGCATAAGTAGCTGGGGCTACAGAGTTGCCTTTTCAGGAGGTATATTTACCCAAAGAAGTTATGCATATTTCATAAAAACAAACAGACCATGTGAAAATACAGTCAACGCTTGGTTAGGTTTTTGATGTGTTTTCCAAGTAAAAAAAGCATACATTCCTTATCATTTAGTTTGAAAATAAAACATGTTGCATTAAGAAGTATCTGATACTTACTGTGATTTTAATGATTCATTTATACACAGTGTTCCAAGAAACACTGATATCCTTTGTTAACTTGCCAAAAACAATATGTTTAAACCTGCTTGAACTTTAAGTCATCACAATACCTTTAAAAAGAAAGTTTATGGAGCACTGTTACCATTATTTAATAATAGTGTCTTTAGGTATTTAATTATGTGGTATTTATTTTTATTTACCTTAATTATTAATTATTTATTTACTTTAGAAGGAAATTTGTCTCCAGCTTCAGCAGAGCATTAACAAAATTAGTCATGGTAGAGAGTATGTTCCCAGAGAAAGGAACATGAAACAATACTTTTTTCTCTTTTTTAAACAGAGACTTCAGCTTCATTTGTAATAACTCAGTTAAAACACACAAAATTTAAAATTTCATTCCTTCTCTCCATTGCCGTCTCCTATTACCGTGCTCTATTTTTCCCACGGTATCTATCATCTTTTAATATACTGTGTTATTTATTTGTGTTTTAAAAATATTTTGTTTCTCCCCGTTGGAATGTTAGCTGTGAAAGGGCAAGAATACTTGTTTATTTGTGTGTAGTACCTGACCCCATAGTAGATGCTCAATAAATAGTTGTTGAACGAGCAAACCAATAAATAAATATCAAATAACTTATGCATTGAAAAAAAAAATTGCGTGGGAAGAGAACTTAAGTTCAATTATGAGACTTAGAATGTGGAGAGGTGGAGGAAGACGGGCTAAGTTAAGGAGAGCGATCACTATGTGGCTTATGACCACAGATTTCTCGCCTTTGTACTTTAGAACTAAAACAGACCATGGAGACATCGATTCACTCATTTTAAAGAAGTCCAAACTAAGGCTTAGAAAGGTGAGAAGTCATACTTCTGTTCCAGATTACCTTTTAAATAAAGGTGGTAAATTCTGAGACAGTGTAACAATTCACGATCAATGATGATGGCATTAATATTTACTGAGTGCTTATTATGTACCAAACATTTGCTTAACCCTTTATATCTCACTTAATTTCTGCAACTAGCCTGTGAGTCTCGTTTTAGAGATGAGGAAACTAATACTTAGAGGTTTCTTCACTTGTTGACAGAAACTTAGTTACTCGGTGATAGAGCCTCTTCAATACCAGCCATTGGCTGCAGGCTTATCATATACAAGTGTTTTGCTGGAAACCAAGAGATCAAATAGAAAGATGTGGTTTTCCCCTTCTGAGGAGTTATGTATTAGACCCCTGGAATGTAACAGTAAGATGTACATATTAGATCAGTAGCTTTCAAATGTTTTTGATCTCAGTAAGAAATTTGTATTTCAATAAATGCACACATATTTATCCTGGAGGAGGGCATGGCAACCCACTCCAGTATTCTTGCCTGGAGAATCCCGTGGGCAGAGGAGCCTGGAGGGCTACGGTCCATGGTGTCGTGATGAACTGGACATGACTGAAGCACCTGAGCATGCATGCACACACACACATTTATATGTTTTTTAAACATATACTTTCATAACTGAAATTAAAGTTTTATGAAATATCCTTACTGTGTTCTGTACCTGCTAGTACTTTTTTTTACATGCTGATCCTTTCTATTCTATTTCATTATATTCATTTTATTCTATTTGCTGTTTTAAGACCAGTTACATTAAATTTGCTTCATAGCCCATGCATGCATCACCTATTGAAGCAGGATATTTTATGTATATTAACAAAAGATATTTTATGTGTTAGGGGGGATAAAATGCTCAATACTGATAGTCCTCCAGAGCTCATGTAGCTATTTCTTCTGTTATTTATCTCTGTATTGTACTTGCATTGCTAATTTTGCTCTATCAATTTAAAAAAATATTTGTGGACTCACACGTATGGTAGTGAGATTAGCTATCTAACTCCATGCTTTATTTCCCCAACTTTCAACCTCCTAATGCAGTAACGGTCAATTTTTATATAATAAATATTATTTCTATTCTATGCTGTAAATATCGTTGATCACAGAGCCACATTATGTATTACAATACATTTTCTTTCTTTTTATCTCTCTTAATTTCTTCTGGAGATAATATATATATTTATTTATATATTTATTTATATATATATTTATTTATTTGGCTGTGCCAGGTCTTATTCGTAGCATACAGGACCTTTAGTTGTGGCATGTGAGATCTGGTTCCCTGCCCAGGTATCAAACCCAGGCCCCCTGCACTGGGAGCATGGAGTCTCAGCCACTGGACCTCCAGGGAAGCCCCTCAGGTCTTTCTCTTTCTTGGTTCTCGCCCTCATTTTGCATCAACACATTTTCAAGAAAGTTCCAAAGAGAACAGGGGAGAATTTTCCTGAGTGCCGGCTTGTCTTACGATGTCTCTAGTTCATCCTCAGCCTTCGGTTGATAAACTGGGTGCAGGTTTAGTCAGAAATATTCTCTCAGGATTTTGAAGGTATCACTAGCTTTTCTCCTGCTGCAGTTGTTGAAAAGTCAGGTTCTTGTTTCTTCATATATGACCTGGTTTCTTTTAAATCATAGCAAATAGTGGTTATGTTCTTTCTGTGTGTCCAGCACTGTTCTAAGTGCTCTGCATTATTTAATGCTCAGGTTATCATCTCTGTGATAGAGGGATTGTTTTCTGTATTTTACAGAAAGGCAACTGAGGCATGGAGAGGCTAAGTAGCTTAGTGGTGGGAGAGGGTGGTTGACTGGGCACTTTACTATTGGAGGATTGGGGCAGGGGTGGTTGGCCATTTCAGGGGAGCCCTCCGATTCTGAACATCTCACCTCCTCTCTGGGAAGTTAGACTCCTGCCTCTCCCTCAGAACAAAATGAAGGTCTGAAGAATCCCACTGTTAACTATGCATGCATGCTAAGTTGCTTCAGTCATATCTGACTCTTTGCAACTCTATGGACTGTAGCCTGCCAGGCTCCTCTGTCCAAGCGATTCTCCAGGCAAGAATACTGGAATGGGTTGCCATGCCCTCATCCAGGGGATCTTTCTGACCCAGAGATCAAACCCACATTTCTTATGTCTCCTGCATTGGCAGGCAGGTTCTTTACCACTAGTGCCACCTGGGAAACCCTTCAGTTGTATGACCTAAGTGTTAATTTAGCCATTCTTGAATCATTAAACATTTTAGGTTATTTCCAATTTTTGACCTTGACAACAGTGATGCAGTGAGTTGAAACGATAGTGGTTTGGCAAAATGTACAATACTACTAAAGTTAAGGCTCATGGTAGTTTGGGGGAGGCTAGAAGAAAATGAGAAGATATATGTGACAAGTTGAAGAAAAGCTCAAATCTGTTTGTTTTTTGGCTGTACTGGGTCTCCTTGCTGCATGGGCTTTTCTCTAGTCGTGGTGCACGGGCTTCTCATTTTAGTGGCTTTTCTTGTTGCAGCGCACAGGCTCTAGGTGTGTGGCCTTCAGTTGTTGCAGCTCCCGGGCTCTAGAACACAGGCTCAATGGTTGTGGTTCACTGGCTTATTTGCCCTGCAGCACGTGGGATCATCCTGGACCAGGGATCGAGCCCACGTCTCTTGCATTGGTAGGCAGATTCTTTACCACTGAGCCGCCAGGGAAGCCCGAAAAACTTCATTAATTGCAGAGGCACATAGTACTTTTTTCTGGTGAAAAGAAAATGTTCTTGTCAATTAATTTTTTCTCCTAGACACATATTGTTCCTTTCAGAGAGCCATGGCCTAGGCTAATGGCCGTGTTTACTGGGCTGGGACTGTCCAGGCGACAGGAATAATCTTTGATGTTCTTTTCTAGGTGTTTACCTTACTGTGGATCGCTGATTGGATGGTGCATCATTTCTGGAGGAAAGGAAAGGACCCAGATAGCTTCTCCATCCCCTATCTGACGGCGCTGGGTGATCTGCTTGGGACAGCCTTGTTGGCCTTAAGTTTTCATTTTCTATGGCTTATTGGAGATCGAGATGGAGATGTTGGAGACTAATAAATCCTACAAGCCACTCTCAAGTAACCAAGAAGGAAATCACAAGACAACCACTTATGACTCTTTTTCACAATTTTTAATTCGGTAGTATGACTTCTGCCAGGGTAGTCTTCAGTTGGCCCTGATTCCATTAAATGGCCTTAACACTTTTTTTTTTTTTAAGGAATTTGTGTTGAAATGAGAATGAACAGTATTTGTGCTGCTTTTCATAGAATAAATGATAATTTGATATAGACATAGACACAAGCTCAAGCTCTGAAATTGATTAACTAGAAAGGAATATAGGATGTTTACAATGAATAATTTTAGAACCACAGACGTAGCAGAAATGTATTGTCTTACTGTTTAACTTATAATGCCAAGAGTTCTGGTTTCATCTTTCTTGTCTCACAGATGTATTTGTTCTGCAAAGCAGACTTTAAAATGAAAGGGGCCCAAGCAAGCTTGTTTTATTTATGCTCACCTCTCTGCCAGCTGAGGATCCATTTACCAATTTGTTTGCTCCTAACCTGACCTCCATATGTTCTGCTGAGTATGAGATAAACTCACTTTTTTCTGCTTGTATGAATTTCTCTGTGCCAGTGCTAATTTTATTTCAGCCCTGCAAGTTCTCTGCAGGCTACCCTTTAAACACAGAATTGCCTTTAGTGAAAGCAACGGGTCATTTTGATGATTGATTTATTGAAAGAAGGTTAATCTTTTTCAGAAGACTTAGTAGTCCAAAATAAGATAACCTGAGCTGCATTTGTAGATCAAGATGGTATGAGAAATTGTGTGTGTGTGTGTGTGTGTGTGTGTGTGAAAGAGAGAGACAGAAGCTGTTGATGGAGTGCTGAATCTTGGCTTGTTGATAGTGAAGATCATAGTGGGATATTAGCATTCTGGAGAAGGAAATGGCAACCCACTCCAGTGTTCTTGCCTGGAGAATCCCAGGGACGGGGGAGCCTGGTGGGCTGCCATCTATGGGGTCGCACAAAGTCGGACATGACTGAAGCGACTTAGCAGGAGCAGCAGCAGCAGTTATTCTTTAGCACATTTTATTGACATGCTTTTGTCACGTGGCATAAAAATTTTGCTCTTGCCCAGAATTTAGTATTTGTTAGCTACATTATAATTAATACTCCTTCTTATTTTTTAAAAAAAGGTAACATTTAATATAATCAAAATAGCATAAGATTTAGAATGAGCAGATGGTTCACTTGTTCTCCTTAAGAGGTCTGCTGAAACTTGCAGGCTTGCCATTTTAAAGGCGGAGTTGGTGGGTCACCTCAGTTCCTGTTCCTGCCTGTGCACACCATCTCCACATGGGACTATCAGGTACGCTGCTGTGGTTCTCAAATATTTTTCTAAAACTCTGATCTGTATTCGAAACACTTGACCAACACCTTGGTTATTCAATAGGTGAGCATTTTTTATATTACATACATTTTGAAAAATACAGTGGAATCTCTCAAGATTGTCAGATATTTAATAATTTAACTGATAAAGGGAAGAAGAAATGCACATTGACTTTGATCATCATGGTTTAAATTGTGAGTTAGTGTTAACATTATATAAATAGTAGGTTGTTTGTATATACATTGAGGGAAGTGTTCTTATTAAGCTCTTTAAAATAAAGGGACTGTGGTTTAGAATTATATATTTTGCTTATTTTAAAACTTTAATTATTCCATTCTTCTGCCTTATAATGAAGTTGTAAGGCAGAGAACTGAACTAATTATAGAATTTCTCCTTTGGAGAGTTATAATATCATGTAGTGAACATTCTGCAAAATTTTTTATTTAAAAAAATCCGTAAATAATTTCTTTGATTTTGTTATAAAGCACTTGTAAATTATTTATATTTGGGCTGTATAATTCATAAGCATTTATATTTCCCAACAATTTCTGTTTTCATTTTTTTACCTAAAAAATGGATAGCAAATCACATTTTTAAAGGATTTACCAACAACTTTAGTGCATTACATATTCCAAAGCACATTCAAATACATCATGTTATTTAGTTCTCACAACAGTACATGTGAAATAGGTCAGATAGATATTCCTATCTCTATTTTATAGCAGAAGGAAGCGAAAGTCAGCCAAGTTACATTTTTAATGTTGCACAGCTACAAAGGGCCCCAAATTGTGATTTAGTCTAGATCATCAATCTCCTAAGCCAGTTCTTTTTCTGTGACCCTCCAAATGTACCAAGTGTATACAACTTGTCAACTCTGAGGAAATCAACCACAGAAACAAGATTTTCTAAAGTAGAATAGAGTAGTGCTATATCTTTCCAACTTCGGACAGGGAAATCTTCATTTAATGTATCTTACTGGTAAATATAGCTAAACTCTAAAATTATTCATGTTCCTAAGACCAAGGAAATCAAAGATAAATGAAAACTTTAGAAGAAAGGACAATGCCTTATTTCATAGAATATTTAATTGCCTTCCCAAATCTAGCTGTTTTCCATAGATGCTAATAAATGACTAGAATGACTGATTTGAGTTCTGTCCTCTTTCTTTTTTGCTACGCAATCTTTGTTACAGCAACAAAATGTCTAAAAGACATGAAATGGGGAAAAAAATGAAGACTTGGAAAAATCAGTCACCAATTAGCTGAATTAATTTATGAAAGATTTAAATTCTTTTAAATTATTTTTACTTTTTTTTGAAAGCCTTTACATAAATATAGAATGAATAAGATAACTTTGCCTGCACACAAAATGCATTTATTATCAGTTGTATGTAAAGCAAATTAGCAAAGTTTATTTTTACACCACATAAGTTTGCTTTCTGAACTTCCTTTTCTCACTAATTTATCAGGCACTTTATTTAAACACGGATAATCTTTTCAAAGACTTTATTTTTGCCCGCCAATCGCTTTCTATTCTTTAAGAAATAAAGTTTCTTAGAACCTAATAAAATAGAAACTTTTAGTAATGTATCTTCTGGGAGACACTGAAAATTCTATGGCACAGACTATCAATGATGTAGCGAAATGAAGTACATTTTTAGGGGTCTTTCAGTGATCGGGTTTCCTTGCCTTATAATACAGCTCTTGTATAGCATACCCATTTATAATGGGCATCTGCCATCTCTGAATTGTTGTAAACTCAAATAATAAAATTTAAGACATATTTACCCAGGCTTGTTGTACTTACTTCTTGATAAACTAGATGAACATTTGGCCTTGTGGAACTCACCCAGAAGAGAATGTATGTATGTTGTTTATGAGCATAATAAATTGGGCTCTGACCACACCTAGACCTCCACTTTACTGCTTTACCACTTTTTCACTCAAGTACTGTCCTCATTATTCAGTTTACATTTCTTGGCCCATCAATTCAGACATCCTCAACTATCTCCTTCATTCCTGTTGGACAGCTCTGGTTAAATACAGCTCTCTGCCAATGCTTTGCCTACACTTGAACAGCTGAGCATGGCTCATGAAGAACACACAACAGATCTTTAAATTCATAGCCTCGGACATGAAGCTAACTCTCAACGGCCCAGCGGCCTCCACTATTTCTCTAATCACTTCACTCTTTGGGAGATCAGGCTTTTGTCCCTACCACTCTACTGAAAGTATACCTGTTGAGGTCACCAGTGTTCTCCATGTTGCAAATCTAGTGCTTAGTTCTCAGTAAGAATCCTCATCTTGTTGTTCAGTTGTTAAGTCATGTCTGACTCTTTGTGACCCCATGGACTGACCCCGTCAGGCTCCCCTGTCCTTCACCATCTCCCAGAGCTTGCTGAAACTCAGGTCCATTGAGTCGGTGATGCTATCTAACCATATCATCCTCTGCCACCCCCTTCTCCTGTTGCCTTCGATCTTTCCCAGCATCAGGGTCTTTTCCAATGAGTTGGTTCTTCATATCAGGTGGCCAAATTATTGGAGCTTCAGCTTCAGCATCAGTCCTTCCAGTGAATATTCAGAGTTGATTTCCTTATCCTCATCTTAGTTTCTAAAGGTATTTGACAGAGTCTTCTCCTTCCTTGAAATACGTTCTTCACTTGACTTATAAAAAAAATCTGCTTTTGCTTTCCTTTCTGCATTGCTGGAAGCCTCGTCTTCGTCTTGCTGGTGGTTCCTCTACCTCTTAACCTCTAAGCATTGGAATGCCCTGCAGCTCGGTTTTTATTATCATTTCTCTATTTTTTATCCCTAGGTGACCTCGCCTGATTGTTTCAAATGACATCTGTACCTATTACCTAAATTTCTCAGTCCAGACCTCTCACCTGAGCTCCACATTTGTATTTTCATACTAAACTACCGAAGGATCACTGAAGAAATCAAAGAAGAAATTTTTTAAATGCCTATAGACAAATGAAAACATCACAATCCAAAACCTATTGGATGTAGCAAAAGCAACTCTAAGAGGAAAGTTTATAGCAATACAGTCTTACCTCAGGATACAAGAAAAATCTCAAGTACACCACCTCACAAAACACAAAGCAAAGTAGAGAAAGAAGAACAAACAAAATCGAAAGTAGAAGGAAGGAAATCATAAAGATCAGAGCAGAATAAATAGAGATGAAAATGATCAATGAAACTAAAAGCTGGTTCTTTGAAAAGATAAACAAGATTGATAAACCCTTAGGCAGAGACTGATCAAGAAAAAAAAGGAAAGAACTCAATAAAAATGAATAAGGAGAAGTAACCATGGATACCACAGAAATACAAAGGATCCTAAGAGACTACTACAAGCAACTATATGCCAATAAAATGGACAACCTAGAAGAAATAGACAAATGCTTACTTAGAAAGATACAATCTCTCAAGACTGAACCAAGAAGAAATAGAAAATATGAATAGATCAATCAGAACTGAAGTTGAAAACTACCAACAAACAAAAGCCTAGGACTTGATGGCTTCTCTAAATCAAACATTTAGAGAAAAGTTAATACCTGTCCTTCTGAAACTTCTGAAATACCTATCCTCTTCAAAAAATTGTAGAGGAAGGAACACTCCCAAACTCATTCAATGAGGCCACTATCACCCTGATACCAAAATCAG